CTAATGCTCTGATAACAACTTAATGGTTAGGACACAGACCTGTGGGTATAGATGCTAATGCTAATGCTAGTGTGGGGGGGGCTGCACCTGCCTCGGCCCTCTCTGCTCTCAGAGAGACACTAAAGCTCAAAGAGCAGCAGCTTCTCTCACACGCTCCACTTCCTTTTTCTCTGTGTGATTCTGAGAGTTATTGGTTTTTCGTTGTGACCTCGGTTTGCTTTTAAAGGAGTTCCCTCTGCAGCCGTTTGACCCGGGGCCACGCGGGGAAGCCATCAAACCAGAAAAAGCAGATTGATGTTAACCTCTAATTGTTGCCGCGTGCAACGAGAAGGAAGTCGTACATCAGCCTCTTTCTTTGGAACCCAAATCTGACCCAGAACTGAAACGCTCTGCTCTCATCATTACCAGCCTCACTTCCCCTTTAAAGGACTGACCTCACACTAAACTACTATTTAAGGAAGAAAAAACACACACGGAAGAGGGGGGGTGGGGGTGGGGGTGTTTGTGCACATGCACGAGCATCTCCAGGCCGGCACAGCAATACAGGAAATGATCCACCCCGCCCCAGTTGTCTTATCAGGACTCCTTACTCTAACTCAGACAGTTTAGTGTTTTACACAGAGGATCAAATACATGGAACAGTCTTCCCACATCACTGACAGATCTCTCTAAAGAACTATTTAAAGTAAAATAGAGTTAAAAAAATTACATTAATAGAGTAAAGAAATTAAAGAAAAATTGCTGCTACTAAATTGTCTGAATTTGCCATATGGATTTGTGGTCTAAATTATATTTTAAATTGTTTTATACAAAGAAATGTTTTTTTTTTTTGTTTTTTACATAATATCATATAGATGTTTGAAATTGTGAAATATATTTGTTTTTATGGAGACTGCCACTCGTTAAGCCCCTTGAGGGTTTTTCGGCAGTTGTCCATCACATTTTTTTTTTTGTTAAGACATAATACTGTTTTTATGTTTTCGTTGTGAAAATAAAATGAATAAAGTAAAATAAATAATTTCACTGTGTCATGAAGCCAATCTCATTTCCTCTGAGGCTGCCGGGGCAGGAAAGCCGCCCACCGGCCGGACTGCTTCACTAACCGCCTTAAAAAAGGCAGCAAATCAAATATGGGCAGAGCTGAACCACCATTTTCACATCCCATCACCTCATTTCAGAATCAGAATAAGGTTTATTGCCAAGTAGGTTTTTGACTTACGAGTAATTTGCCTTGGTGTTTGGTGCACCAAAAAGCAAGGAAATACAATGTAGAAATAAAAATATAGAACAGAAAAAATAAAACTAAAAAGTACAATCTTTAAAAATATAGATCTGAGAATATAAATATGAATGTGAGACTCAAAGATACAATATTAAATGTTATTTGCTGCTTTGTTTCCACAGGAAACTAAAGAAAGCAGCTAAAGAAAGAGGGGCTTCTCCTCTAGCTTCCAGCTGCTCCACCTCTGGATGCTTAACTCTACCTGATAACTCTTATAATCTTCTGTATTGTACAGTATCACTGAGCACAACAGCTCACAAATCACACCTTCTGTTTCCGATAAAGTCTCAAATCTAAACGGGTTATTTTCGTCCGGGTTTCTGATTCATAAGAGGTGAGTAAAGCCCGGAGAAGCTTGAAGATTCAGCCTCTCTTCCCGATATCAGACCCCGGCGTGTTTCAAGCGGCTTTTGGTGGTTTGGCTTTCTGGTTGTGGGTTCGTGTGTCAAAACTAAACGTCCCAAAGTCACATTTCAAAGTGCCGGCAAGTCTCCACGGCCAGAGCCAAAAAAAAAAGCAGCCTGCTAACAGAAAACGCTAAATAAACACTTTTGGAAAGCTTTAACTCGCCAAAGACATAAAACAAACATCCCCCCAAACCACAAACGACTTTATCTGCCATTCCTACACTTCTTTAAACAAAACGAAGCGCGGGGGGGGGGCATAAATACACGTTGCCGTGGAGACCGGAGGACAGAGGGCTGCTTTAGTTTGTTTTTGTCTTACGGCGGATCGGTACACAAACGG